TTCTTTCTTTCTTCTTTTTTCTTTTTTCTTCTTCGTCTGTTGTTTTGAATTTTTTGTCTTCATCTCTGTCTTCATCTTTGTCTCTCCGTACATATCTCTCTTGCGCATTCCATCGTCACAAATACGATAGCACATCTGCCCTCTTGTTCTGCCCCAGGCGGGAGGTATTGCATGCGCCGCTCGTGCCGTTGCTAAGGAGTCCGTATGCCCATGCCATCCATGCGAGCGGTTCTAGGTATCCATCCATCCATGCATCCTCTCGCAGCAGCGGCATGCAGGAAACTGCAGATATGCTTGCTGGCACGCACGCGCCCTGGTAAAAAGGAGCGGAGTACGGTACGGTACGGTACTACTACTGTAGACAAGTACGGACGCCGTATTGGCTGTGGACGTTATGGTCGCATCGGGCTCGGCGGGCTCTGTGAGGTAGGTATGCCATGCAATACATACATAGGTACATACTACTGCTACTGCTACATACAGCATGTTCTGCATGCTATCACCGTATGTATGCGATGCATATCACAGTTACCAGCTTGCGTGCGTGCGTGCGTGCCGACCAGATCTGGAACTCATAGGGAATATGCAGCTGAGCTTGTTGAGATGCGTGCAGCAACTGCACAACCACAAGTTCGGCAGCAGAAAGATGGGATGGGATGGGATGAGATGGAATGGATGCGATAACAGACGGGTGAGATCCGACGAGAAGAGCAGAGCAGAAGGGGAAAAGCGGACGGAGGAAGGCGGGCACGAAGAGGCTCACTCACTCACTCACTCCCTTCCGCCGATTGAATGACAGCGAGTAGACGAGCGGGATGAGAGAGGAGGTTCACGGATGTCGTGCATCTCCCGTTTACATGTGCATTTGTGTTTGTATTTGCATCTGCAGTACGTCTATCGGTGTTGCGTCTTGCCTGCAATGGTCGTTTGTTTTGCATCCGCATCTGCAGAAGCAGAAGCAGAACGCTTGCTCGGTGCAGTTCTCTACCGCTGCGGCTCGCTGGCTGGCTGGCTGCTGGGGAAAAGAGGGTGAGGGCGGGGGAGGGCGGGGGAGGGGCAGAGGAGAGGGGGGGGGTGAAGGTATATATATATATATAAATAAATATATGTATATACAGAGTAGAAACCCCAAAAACAGACAGCGAGCCAGCTAATACCTCCCCTTCCAATCAAAGAGGGAATATTCTGCTTTCGATTTGTTACTACACTTGTGCCCTCGGACTTGGGAAGGTGCGTTGTGTTGCGTTGCGTTGCTCTTCAGTCGCCAAGGGAGAAACCGACTCCGTATTCTCTCCTCTGATCGCTTCCGTATTCATCCACTTTTACAGAGCCGGCCAAAGCGGGCTAGAGGGCCGGACGACGACGACGACGACGACGACGACGACGACGACGACGACGACGACGACGACGAGGCTGATCGGTATTCAAGGGTATATCGGTCACGGAGGGAGACTGCCCCCCTTCCCCCTCACCCCTCCCCCCTCCCCCCTCCCCCCTCCCCCCGCTTCCCCTCCCTGCCTCTACCGTCTCGAAGTTCCACCATCATCATCAATCCTCATCCTCATTGGCTGGCGGGATGGATGGATAGATACTACTTACAGTAAATGAAGCCCGGGGCTCAGCTCAGCTCAGCTCATCCCAGCTCATCCCAGCCCAGCTCAAAGAAACAGCACCCGCAAGTCCCGAAGCTCCCCAGACCCCGACCCCGACCCCGACCCCGACCCCGACCCAGACCCAGACCAACCGCAATCAACCAACCGCAACCAAGATCAGATTCCCCAACTTCCAAGAATCAGCTGGTAGGTCCCGTACGACTACGTCAGTCCGCCCCGGACCGGAGACCGGATACTACAGCGGATCAATTAATTAATTACTAATATCGATCGCGCATCGCACACTGTTCAACCAAGGCAGCCCGACTCAAGACGAAACGACGCTACTCCGTCCGTCCTTGTTCCTACTCAGTCGCGGGTCAACCACTACCGCTACCACTACCGCCGATAACGTACCACGGTACGTACCACGTAGATGAAGGGTAGGTAGGTAGGTCATCCGCAGGTCGCTTTCTTTCTCTCTTTCTTTCAATCAATCAATCAATCAATCAATCAATTTAGGTTCTTGCACGTTGGGAGAGGGGGGCGGGCAGGCACGCTTGCGGCGCACAGACTGATACCGTAGACTGATAGACATGGAGTAGAGTACCGTAGATACCGTACCGTAGATAGGTACCTAAGGTACCTAGGTAGGTAGTCGTACTGCCTGCCCACCGATGCCGCATCGCATCGCAGGCCAGCTCCAGCTTTTCTTTCCCCCCCGTGCTCTCTTGCTCCGGTTCTGCTTTGGGCTTAGGTACTTCTTCTTCTTCTTCTTCTTCT